CAAAAAAGTCACAATTTTTTTCTGAATAATCAAAAAAATCACAACGATTTGTACAACCAACTTCTATAATCAAAAAACGCCATCTCCTTAATCAAAAACGAATCATTTGCTACCTAAGGTACTGATCTATTTATCGATTGAAAGAATCAGCATTATACCTAGAAACCTGTAATGCACCATTCGGAGGAATTTGTCTGTTATCGTTTTTTGATATAAAATAATGTTGTGACGTTCCGAAGAAGGGCCGTATACAGTATATTTGCACTTGCATTTTATAATTTAAGTATGCGTATAGAGAGAAGTTGTATTCATTTTTTTTAAACGAAATAAAAATTTTCGTGATTTTATAATTGAAAAAAATATCGGGAATTAAAATTTAACGACAATATTCGTCCCAATTTTCCTAGCACATCATTCATATCTCTGGTAATTCTATGATACCACAACAAAGAATGCGGGTAAAAATATGATATTACCGTATCAAACCCACAAAACATAACCCCACAAGAATGCCATAATTAAATCCGCCGTATCATGAATTTTACGTGCAATACCCCACCAACCTTCTGTTAGTATTGCTTAATTTTAAATATATGAAGGTACCCCATGGTATTGTGGGAAAGTATAACGTGGAATGTACGCTCCACATTTTATCATTCTGAACCCATTTTTTTTTTTGTGAATTTGCGGTATCCCTGAAAGGATTGAATTGTTTACGAGAAGATCAAATTTCCATCTTTGAAGTGATAAATTTTAAATGGTATAGAACCATTATTAATGCATAACAGAAGTAAGTCCATCCCAGGGAAATGATGATCCAAAATAATGTGAATGGTACTAAAAAAAAAAGTCAATCAATCATATGTTACGCAGTAAGATTACATAATTACCTCCGGCAAGGTTCCAGAAAATCCAAACTATAAAAAGAATTTTGGATACCCGATACCTTTCATATGTTATATCCCATGTGGTTGGAATACAATCTTCACAAGCATTACATACAAGAAAGGTTTATTTAATATATAAAACTTCTTTAAATGTAAAAGATATATAACCAAAATGGAAATTACACAAGAAACACCGAAAATAAAACAATTACGGTCGTACCTTAACTTACAAATCAGAATCACCGCTTCAGACGGTCGTATATTTAACGGAATTTTTATGTGCATCGACAAATATAAAAATATCATTTTGTCACAAACCGAAGAAGTTCGTGGTGGTAATCTCCCTCCCATTTTTTTTTTTTTTTAAAAAAAAAAAAGAAAAAACGGGGCTTGAATTTATCTCAAAATCTTATTCTTATCTTTTCAATATAGATGAGAGGAGGTTCGTCGGACTTGTTATGATACCTGGAAAACACATTTTCAAAGCTGAAATTGAAGATCTAGATTCTGATATATATACATGAAATTTTAATGTTTACTTTATTTTTCTCACTGGTTAATTTAATTTTTAAAATACAATAATTTCCGGTGCGTTTTATTACATATCATGATCATATAATATACATATATTACGATATTAGGTAACCTTAATTTTTTAGGGCTATGAAAAAAATGATTCTACGATAATTTCATTTCTATTTGTAAAAAAAAAAAAATCAAAAAAAAAAATTATTATATAATTTTAATGTTTCTATTGATTTTACATAACGTATGTCTCTTCATCGAAATTGAATGGTTAATAAATTATCTACCTTCCAACTTGACATTTCTCGTTGCAGAAGGTATGGTAACTGTTATCCCGTCTAGATCTTTTCTCATCACGATCTGACATCCTAATCGTGAACTGCATTCATAAAAATAAAGAGATCAGACTTGATTTACAAATATTCAAAAAGAAAAAATAATTATCACTGTAAATTTATAACATACGTTTCTGTTAAACCAAATGCAAGATCCAACATATCATTTTCTTCATCTGTCGGTTCATCAAGTTTCTCATAATACTTGGGTTCTACTATTACATGACACGTAGAACACGCTAATGATCCTTCACACGCACCTACATCCAATGAAAAAAGTATTGTTAAAACGAACATTCATAATGAAATTCAAGGAAGATTATGTTTTAAATATTGACAAACATTCTAAATCAATATCATGTGCCTGAGTAATGTCCATAATACTATCCCCAACATTGGCTACTATTGTTTTTTTATCTCCTTCGCGAGTAACGAAATTAATCGTTACCCTATGCGTTTAAAAAGTGAAATTCAAAAAAAAAAAAAAAAAACGAATTGGACAAGAGCATTAATGATCCAAAATGATCCTTTTGATAATATAAAAAAAAAAATAATAATTTAAATTTACCTACCCTTCCCCTTCTTTCGGCGGTGTGATTTCTTTATGGAAAGTCACTAAGCAAAAAAAGTTTTGATTAGCAGGAAGCTTTTAATATAATAATGCGACGAGTCTATACAATGGCATTACCTTTTGAATTAGTAAATTTCCTAGTTTGATATATTGTCGCTATCGGATTTTTCGTCGTTTTATGAATTTTAGGAACATTCCATATTAATTGATTTCTAAAATTTTGCTTAGCAAAAGTATTCATACACATAATTTGTTGTCGTTTACTATTACTGGATAAAGAAGTAAAACATTTAATGGAAAATCGGGAAAACATTATCAAAAATCCATATATTTAAGTTGCGAGATTATAAAAAAAAAAAAAATCAGTTTGCACAGAATATCATGTTAAGCTAAGCCACTTTCATCTAAATTACATCCGATAGATTATCCAATCAGATACCGTTAAATTTTTGCGCACGGACCAACCGAACCAACAGTTTGGGATCATTTTTAAAAATTTCCGCAACCATTTTATTTATCGAATGAAAAAGTACAAAAATATTATTTTGACATTACATGTGAAATTATATTATAATTACGGAGTATTCTATACTTTTGAAATAAATATCGGAAAGTGTAAAAAGTTTGACAAAGAGATTCCATTTCTTCTTGACAGCAAGGTCCTAATTTCTTGTAAATTTCATAATTCTCGCCGGAGCTAAACCTGAGCTTAATCTAATTTTTGATGTTTCACAAAAAACATCCATGCATAGGTTTCAAAGGGAAAAAAAAAAAAAAATGAACGAGTGAATAAACATTTGCTCTTACTCCAAAGATTGACGGGGAGGTTTTTTTTTTTTTTTTTTTTTTTTTTTTTTGACAATTATCCCAAATTCGTTCTTTCCTTAATAAGTAATAACGTGAAGAAATTGTAAAGCCAAAACGAAATGTAGATTTTGAATATACGTTTTCAAGCACAAAATCTCAGAGAATAATATAACTTTATAAAGAATAGGTGGTTTGGTGAAACGCCATCTGCCCCACTTACGAAATTCTGACGAATTTAATTGTTTATGAATGGGTAGAATTTAAAATTTTATAGATATTATATTTACACATTATTGAATAAATAAAGTATATAATCGATTATTGTTATGCGATGTATTCAAATGCAAAAAAAAAAATAATATACAGGAAACAATACACATAAATGTAAAAAGGTGGTAATATAATATCCATATTGTTTGTAATTTACAAACTTACCTATTCAAACTTAAAAGAAATAATATTTTCATTGTTTAATGATTGTCACCGGGCAGCATACATGTCTCACCAAATATTCACTAGTTGAACTCAACACAATCTAATTTAATAAAATGATCATATCCTTAGTAATCGCTTTATGATCCAATCAAAATTTCTATTTTTCGTGAAATAATGATTTGAAAACATACGGAAGATATTCGAGGGAATAACAAACGGACCTTTTGTAAGCCTTCAAGATTCCTTGATCCAATAATTAGCAAATTCGGTTGTTGTAGAGAAATATATTCGGTTAGAATTTCCCCGACGGTTCCATGACTTTCGTGTTCAATAAAATCATATTGTACATCCGGCTGAATGAATAATGAAAGAAATTAATTCTGTCTTTTGTGAAAAAAAAAAAAAAAAAAAAAGATCTTTAAAATAAGCAAGCATACGTAGGTTTTATCGTATGTCTTCAAGTAATCTCTTAATTTGCCCACAGTCTCTTTTGCATCAAGAAGAATATCAAGATTATTTGCTTTGTCTAGATTATGCCTGTTTATGGAAAATAAAAAAAATGAGAATTTTGCTAAATAAATTCATGATAATGAAGTCCATTGTACTTACAAAAACGGGACACTTGTTTCAGGATTTAATGCAATGACATAGATTATTGATAGAATATACGGATCTTTTAAACGCGAACATAGATCGAACGCGTATTCAATTGCATTATGTGAAATAGATGTTTCTTCGATTGCCAAAAGAATTTTATAAGTCCTATTATAAAAAGAAAATTAATTAATTCGATTAATTCAATGTTTTATCAATCAAATTATTATAAAAGTGATGGGGAGGCTTGGGTAACACATTCTTTCCTTTTTTAGATTTCGTTTACAAAGAAATATCAGGCAAAAAAAAAAAAATTCAAGCCCCAAACTTTTTTTTTTTTTTCTCAACGATAAAATTATTGCCATTACCAATTCAAATACAATGAATTCTAACAACATATTATAAATTCTATAAAAGAAAAAAAAAAAATTCACCTAATGAAAATTTTTTTTTTTTTACTTACTTTCCGCTATACATTGTTTGATATGGGGAGAATAAAAAGTACAAGAGAGAGATATGAACAATGTTTAATTTTTTAAAAGAAGAAAAAAAAAAAAAAAAATACATAAAAATGGATATTCTGTAGAATTTACTAGATTCATGCAAGTTAATAGATAAAAAAATGCATATCACGTTACCCAATCAGATTATCGGAACAAAAGAAATTTTTTTTTTATTAAAAGCCCGTGATAATGACAGTCATTGCATAATTATTCTCTAAATGGCTGAAATGTATGTGCGAACAAACATTACGATGCGAAGATAATAGAAACAGGAGGGATTGATTGTGAAACGGTAGAATTCATTTTCCAATTATTGTCAAGATGAGGAAATTCATTAAACATCCAACAGGACTTATATGTTATTAACCGCTAAGCCTGTGACACTTACACATTACTTCTCCTTGCATAATGTAATAATGTCCACCAATCCATTATCTAATTGTAATGCCATTTGTGCAACGATGAACGGATAAAAGGACCGACTTTTTTTTTTGAATCGGTCATCATTACAACCTTTTTTACTTTTCCTTTATTCCTCACTTAAAATGTCTACCAAGAAAAGAACGAATGTCCGTCAGAGAAACTTTCTTGATGACAGGTTTCGAATGGAAGCATTAACACACAAGTCTTATCATTATGAAAACCCCTCGACTGGACCTCATAACGAACGTTTGGAATTCTTGGGGGACTCGATCGTCTCCTTCGTTGTTGCAAACTATTTATTTAACCGTTTTCCTAATTTCAAAGAGGGACAGCTCACCCTTTTACGAGCTAATTTGGTCTGTAAAAAAAAATTGGCCCAATTTGCTCTTCAACTTGGTTTGAACTCCGAGATTCGTTTAGGAGTTGGAGCATTACGCGATGGTGGCAGAGGCAGTGAAAAAGTTTTAGAAGATGCTTTTGAAGCATATATTGGAGCCGTATTTCTTGATTCAGGATATAGCATGGATGCGGTACGAGATTTTATGGAGCCTTTGCTAGCCCCAGCTGTTGATGAATTGATTCGTAGTTCTCCTCACTCGTCAGTTTTTCCTGCCGTGTTCAAACAAAAATTACATGAGCATAATAATGCACAATTCCAAATGATCGCGGACCAAATTTTAAATTCCGACCTTCAAGATCCAATTAATAAACTTCAAACTTGGTCTCAAAGAAGAGGAATGGGAATTCCAGCTTATAAACCCTACGGTGACAATTGTAATGAACATAACGCTGTCTTTACCGTTGGTGTACTTATTAATGGCAAATGTTATGGTCGTGGTTCTGCAAGAAATAAAAAGGATGCAAAAAAAGAAGCCGCAATAAACGCTCTTAAACATGTTACTACTGGACAAAATGACGAACTTAGCTCTTTTAGAAATATCAGTCGTTTATCTATGACGAACAGAATTCATGGTCCAGTTTCTAAAGGATTACGATCCAACTAAGTCGTTCTTTTTCAAACTGAAATAATCACAAGATTCAGAGAATTCTCCGAGTACAGTGATCTTCAGTGTGGATCAACTTCGTTGAGGGTATGGTGAATTTTTTTTTTTTTTTTTTTTTTTCGTATAATTGATATATTATATCATTTTTTTTTTTTAAAAAAAAAAAAAAATTACGCATGAGTCATTTTGTAGTGTAGAATTTATTTCATATACTTTTTGAGTTGATTCACACCGAAGGTTATTCGTTCTTATTTTTTATTCGATATTTGGAAATAGGATTCTTTGATTGATTTTCTTTTATATTATATTATCGTTATATTTATTTTTTATTTTATCTTCTTTTATTTTATTTTACTTTTCATTATCTTTCTTAACTTACTTTTTAATACCTATGAATGAATAAGCATCACAATTACATATTAATATGATTAAGTAATTACGAAATTTTTTTTTTTAACAAGAAAAAAAAAATATTAATATTTTAAATTAATAAATATCAATAAGCGGTTTACCTGTCGCACAATTATAACTTTTAAGGGTAAATTAATCATATGAATTATCATTATTTTTCGAAATGGTGATAAACCATTCAATATTTATGAATATATTGACATTAAATTTGAGATTAGATTTGAGGTTTCATGATTCTCGTATAGGCTGATATGAACTGTAAATAAATGGGTATCTCATCCATACGAACTGATTTTAATTTCCACCTAACATTCATTCCATTTAATTCATCATCTGACTTTCTCATCACAAAATTCGCAAATTTTTTGATAATGGTCCTTCGATATTTATAATGTCTTCATCCCTTTTCTAAATCAATTTTTTTTTTTTTTGATGCCTTTCAATAAATCACTACGGTATCAAAACTCGTATTTTATTCATCCTGGTACCGATTAGCTTTGATACACTAATCACTTCAAATGGTATTCCTTTCAATGTTTTGTTCACAGCATCCTTTACAAACTCCTATGAAGAGAATATAAAAAATTAAATAAAGCATTATTTAACTGATACTCTGGCTTTTTAACTGTAATGGCTTCATAATAAGAAAAATTGTTATGAAATCAAGTTATCATTCCCGCTGCGCTAATTTTTTCTTTTTTTACACATTTTTATCGCGAGAATCTATAATGAATTATTCTCTTATTACTTTCGCCTTTAGAGAGTTTCAATCAAAGATATGATTGCACCTACTGGTCCTAGTATTAAGCCAATTTTCTTCAATTAAACAAAAGAATGCGATCTCATTCTTTCTACTATATCTATTTCATCATCGAGAAATAACTTAGGTGCTAACAAATTATAATTTGTTGGACTTAAATACCTCTTCTCTTCGACGCCTGGATTTCATGGGACAATTGTCTCCCACTTTACCTGTGGATTGATTGTTCTCTTAGAAGGACGATGGTATTTCCTATGATCTTTTTACCTTTCGTGGAAGACGCTGATAGTTTGAAGATAACAGATGCATTTAATAATACTATAAAAATGATATATTTGAATAATCAATTTTCTTTGGAATTTAGCACTAGGACATTTCTTTATTTTACCAACTTACAAACGGGATTAAAAAAAAGCTATCTATTTCTGACTAATACATTTGCATTTTCCAAATGAATAATAATAATAAATAGAATAAAAAAAAAAAAAATAGAATAAAATAATCTATGACGATATTCCTTCCTAAGATACGATTCCTAATTTCTCTTTTTCCCTTTCTTTTTGTTACGACAATTTCTGGAAAGATGAGTCCATTCTTTACAATGATGACATTGTTTCCTATAACATTCGCCGGTGTTATGATTAGAAAGTTTACATTTTAAACAAAACTTTCCCGTATCACCCGGTCTTCGAGGCAATTCTTTGATTGCTTTTTTACTCTGCCGGAGATCAAGTTTCTCTTCTAATTCTTTATATTGTTGAGTAGTCACCCGATGACTATGATGGTCGACTTCAACACAATTGTCAAATAAACATGGCGTATTCCAGCCCCGGAATATATGCCACCAATAAGTGTATTCGACACTCGGTTCCGCAACTACTTGATCTTGCTGTTTCTTTTTTTTTTTTTTTTTTTTTTTGGTTTAATACTATGCCCAAGGCATCCTTCTTCTTGGTGTCGGTAATATCCTCCTGAAGCTCGTATTTCTATTACAAGATTATGCTTTTCCATAATATTTCGAACTTCTTTAATTTTACTCCATTCTTCCTCAGAAAATACTACCCTTGTATTACATACAATTTCAGATGAATTTTCATTGATCATTTTTCTTTTTAGATGTTTGATAAAAAAAAAAAAATTTTTCGAATGAAATTTTTTGTTTATTTTAAATGGGAAAATCGATCCCTTTTATAATATTTTAAATCATTAATCAATCTAAAAAAATCGCGATCCAACCACATGATTTTCTTTCGTATAAATAACGTGCATGAATGGGCTTGCCAAAATAGGAAATCATAGAACCAAGCCTCGAATTAGAATGATTCAAATATTGGTTAATTTTTTTTGATTCAAATCTCCTGATCTCTTAGATAATGTACCATATTTGCGGGGTAAAACAAAACATAACGCCACAGGAAGGTTTCGGGTTTTGTTTTACGACCCAGATATGTAATAATCTTTATTGAATTAAAAATGTTTATTCGTAATCATTATTAAATGTTTATTCATAAATTTTTATTATTAATGAATATTATTGTAATTTATAAAATTTAAAAATTAAACTAATTGGAAAAAAAATTTTAATTTTTGTTAAAATTTACTATATATTTTTAAAACTTGAGCATTTTTTATTCTTTAATAATTAACTTATACTTATATATAGTAATTATTAAAAGTATCTATTGATTACTAATCATCTTTTGGCTTAAAAAAAAAAATAATTTAGTTAGTATAGAAGTTATTAAATTTGGTAAACTTATAATCTGTAAATTGTAATATTTTTTTCTTTTAAAAAATCAAAAAAAAAATTTTTTTTTTTGAATTTATAAATATTACCAAAAATTTTAGGATTCAAAACTTAGTCATTTGTAATATGATTATATAATTAACAGTTTTATTCCATTTGTTATTTTAAATGATATATAGTATTACTTCTATATAAAATAGTTAATATGAAGTTAATTTATATTAGGTTTACTATAGAACCCAAAAATTACAGCAGCATTAGAATATTTTAAAAAAAAAATAATATGAAAAAATTGTTACTTATATCTTCAAAATAAATAATACTTATACACTTGAAACTTATTTATGAAAAGAAAGAATTACCTTAAAATTTATAAAAAAAAAAGAAAAATAATAAATATTAGAAAAAAGAAAATTATAAAAATATATATTACTCAATAAAAAGCAAAAACCCTTAAAAAAAAAATAATAAAAATAAATGTATTATCTATTTTATCTTTTTCTTTTTGGCATTTTTTTAATAAATAATTAGATATCTAAAACTAATTAATATTCTATCAACAATAGTTTAAAGAGTTCTCTTTCATAATTAAATACTGTTTTTTTTTGAGTGGGATACCACATGTAATA